CATCAAGTTTAAACTAATATTAAAAGTATATATAAGATTCTAATTACAATTCAATCCATTTTCTAATATTTTCAATCGCTTCTTTTAAGATTTTATATAATTATTATTTAATTATAGAATATTATATCATTAAATGTCCACATTTGTTCTTGAAATGGTTTGAATCAATCAATTTAATCTCTAAATTTTGTTAATCACAAATTTGATATAACTTTAATTAATGTCAAATATGTTGGTCCTTTTAATTAGCTAAAATACTAAGCAAGATAATGAGTTGACATGCTAAGTTACACGTAGGTTTCCATATAAGATTAATGAATGTCATCTTTTGTTGAAGTAAGGTCTAGTAATTCAAATTCATTCTTTAAAACTAAATTAAATATGTATTTCATCATCATTTTTTACTATTTGCATTTATCTTCTTTTTTCATCTCCTTCTTCACCTTCCATTGTCTTGCTTCCCTTGTATTAATTTGAAATTTAATTATTTTATTTTTGATTTGAGGAAGAATGCAAAAATGTTGAGTAGAGCAAGCAAAAATTGATAGTTGTTGCAACCAACCAACAACCCATCATGAAGCTTTTGTTTCAAGTATATATGGATTGATTTCAATATTTTCTTTGTCAATTGTGATGTTGGAGATAATATCTTTCACGAGTTTCACTATTTTAATAGATTTTGTAAATAATTGAGTGAATTGAAACCTTAAACACACACCACACTTCAAATAAAATCATCAAACTTCTACCTTTTTCACTCTTTAATTTTATTTCTCCATTCTTTCATAAGCAAATTTCAACCTCATTTCTTTTTCTATTTTTTTGTACATATATACAGTTTCAAGATCATAAAATTTTTAAAGTTGAGATAAAAAAAGAAGTACCCATATAATAGAAATTTGAAAGGTAGAAGGATATGATAATGTAGAAGTCTCCAATAATGTCGTTTCAAGGTGCAATTAGTGACAAAAATGATTCAAGATCACTAGTATCAAGTTTCATGATTGAAGATTAGTGATCTAAAATGAAAATAAAAGATCATTCCTTTAAACCCAATAGTAAGTAAACAAAAAAGAAATGAGGGGAGGGGGAATTAAAAAAGTATAAAAATATATATAAAAAAAATTTAAGAACATGATGAACCGATTCTAGGAGAAGAAGTAGTTGCAGTATGAGATTTTAATTGTTAGTTTGAAACAACAAGAGAAAAGTATAAAAGAGATCTATGTAAAATGTTAGGGTTGGGAAATTAAATTAAGGCAATGTAGAAAGATTAATCAAGGATAAAATAAATGACTAATTTCACCCCAAAGATGGAGATATTTTTTAATTCTATGTGCAGTTATGTACAACTTAACACGTAAACTCATCACTCTATTAATGTTTTTTTAATATCAACTAATAAAAAGAACTGATATGATTAATGTTAATTAAATGTAGTGGCTAAACTATGATTAAGATGTAGAGACTAAGTTGATTAAAGCATACAATTTTAAAGATAAAAGTGAGTAATTACTCAATTAAAATTAATCAAAGATGTATTTTATAAAATGAATAATCAAGAATAAAAGGTTAAAAACTTCTATGCAACAATTGAGGAGTTTTATGAAGAAAAAGAAAATAAAGAGAAAAAACTTGTGCAAACACCAAAAATTTGAACAGAGAAAATTTGGTGCAAAGTCATTACAAAGATTGAAATCAATAGGCTCATAGCTCTTTATTTGATGGTAATAAGAATATATTATATTAAGAAGTATTTAAATATATAATTTAATTAAACATTTATTTTATAAGCTATTTTAAAGAGATAATGTGTACCGTAAATTTAATTATAAAATTTATAAAAATAAATTAAAAATTAAGAATAAAAATGGGTAAAGTTTAAATAGAATATTATAATACTTTTCTTTATTTTTTTTTATTTTAAGAAATTACATGTATCCATCCCATGCTCGTTAACCACTTTGATCCCCATCTCCATAGCCATCATGTATATAAATCTCAATATTCATTCCTATTACCTACAATTCAATTACTTAAAATGCATGAAAAATAAATAAAATATGATTTATAAAATAATATAAAAATTATTACATAAAAGAGTTTAATTTTAGGGTGCTGTTAGTATATTTAAATTAAATTCTAATTAAAAACACATAAAACAAATTGCAAAAATATAATAAGTACAAACCTCCAAAGTTTAACATATTAAAATCAAATATTATAACTTATAGTACCGTTTATCTAAAATCAAAAGTAAAATACTAAAACACACTTTTAGTAAAGTTACTTTTATTAAGTTGCAAAGTTTTGTGTTGACACTTTTTAAAATCTCTAAAAAAATGGAATAATTAACTTCAATGATATATTATATAGTCAAATTAATATAAATAATTAAGATTTTTTCACATTAGTTTTAGAATTAGAGTCTCCAAAATTTTATAATCATTTATATTTTATACTCCAATATTTCTATTTTAGGTTTAGAGTAAAAAAATACAAAAATAAAAAAAATCTAAATTTAATATTACATATATGAATTTTAACTTATATTTATACAAAATGTAAGTAATGGGTATCAGTACTATAATATTTGTACCTATATTCGTACAATTTTGTGGATAAATATCTATGTCTGTACTCAAATTTGTTGAATAAGTAATTATCATATTTACTGCATGCATTTTTGTAAGTACTCGTTGAGTAAAATATTCATTGTCATCTCTATTAAAAAGACTTTATGAGAGTTAGTAACTATTTCATAAACTATTTATAAGCTTTTTAAAACTCTTAAAAATAATTAATTGCTTTATAAAAGTAAAATTATTAAAAATAAAATAATTACAGAATAGTACTTATTTTAAATGAAAAACATGTCAATGGACAAAAACAAACATAACTTCTTTTAAAAAAAATATAAAGATAAAAATATAAAAAAGTCTAAACTGCATAGAACTAAGTATAGAGGATAAAATACATTTTTTCCTTTTAAAATGAAAGTATTTTTGTTTAAAAATGAAAATTGTAATAACGAAAGTGCTTATTTACAATTTAATGAGTATACCACATCACATTATATATACGTGATCAAAAGGTGAAAATGGGTAAAATTTAACTGTTTTCTTAAATAATTTTTGAAATAAAATCACATGTATTGTTTAAATTAAAAGTTATGAGTTCAACATTCTATAAAATTTGATAAATATGAATATAAGTATTGTAGTATTTAGAGCTGTAACTCACTCAAGTTGCATATGTAATTATTTTATAATTTTTTTGGGACATATAAGAACACATTATCTTATACAATATCTGTGTTTTCTGAGCTGTAAATTCTGTGTTCATCATTTCAGCTGTACCCTTTTTGTCATTCGAATTTGTAAAAAGGAAAAAGAAGGATCATTTTGTAGACCATATATATCGATTTCCTGTTAAAATACTATAAATATGATGAAAAGGAAATTGTACCATTTTTTGTAAACCATAAATTTCTATTTTTGTTATTATATGGTTGTTCACAAATCAGAGCAATATTCATACTTTTTTGTAGGGAAGAGTAAGATTAGTAACACACGTTTTTCTTATTATAATCTTAGCATATTTTTTATCTTTATCCAAGAAAAGAAAATCCACTTTACCATTTTTAAAAAAAATCAATTTAATTGTCATATGTATAGATGATTTCTTAAAACAATTTATTAAAAATAATTTTATTAAAATAAAAATCAATTATTACACTTTTGTATCTCTAATGGGATAAGCCCTTTTTAAAAAAATTAAAATATTTACTTGTTTATTTTAAATGTTTAAGTTCAACCTTAGAGACTAAATAAAAAAATAAAATAAGTAATAACATTTTAAAGGAAAGAAAATAAAAGTTTGGTTGAAAGCACTAATCTCTCTGTGTTGTATATATTTTTAGTTCAAATACTTATCTCCCATAAAAGGATACGTAGGTCTTAGACAAGCCAAGAATAAATTAATAATAAAAGTGATTTTTCATTCTACAGCTATGAGTACATTATAAAAACTAAAAAAGTTATTAAAAATAATTATTATATAAAATACAGAAGTCATTTAATATCTGCTTTTTAAATTCATTTTAAATTATAATATTTAATAATACGTATTTAATGTTTTTAGTGTTCACGGACACAATAAATAACTATAATAAAAATACAATTTTATTAACCTTGCATTGAGCTTAAATATTAATGTTTGGTAAACTTTACGGTAAAAAAATTATAATTAATGAACAATTAATGCTTTTTGTTATAATTTTATCTTTAAATACTAATGCTTGTTAAGTAGAAAATAATAAATGAGATATTGATTAATACATATGCAGGATAAAATAGGAAATGAAATAACAATTTTTTTTATGAAATTTAGAATTTAAAATATCTTTTAATTCCTATAAAAAATCTTAAACTTGAAGAAAAAAGGTAATTCTGAAAGTCTTAAAAAAGAGAAATTTTACGCAATTCAAGATATAATAATCCCTACCAATTAGCATTGGACACGTCGTAACTTTGACACGTGTCAAACATTGATTGGTGGGGATCATGCTCTAACCAATACAAAAAATTCTCCTTAGAAAGAGGATGTTGCTGAGTGAATAGGATTATTATTGAAAGAGAACTCACAGGTTAGTTGGTGCTGAGAAAGGAGTACTGAAAAAGTGGGTGAAAAAGGAGAGATGGTGGACTCATAGTCTACTTGGACACCAATGGCAATTTCAGCTACAAAACAAACTTCACATGGCACGCATATACAAAGTACAACCTGCGTTACACATCACTATCAACAACTCAATGCTGAGAAACTTCACTTCTCTTAACTTTTTGAACTTTAAAGCTCCCACCCTATGACAATTAGTGAGTGATGAGTCCACCATTTACCATTTTTCTAACCCTTGAATGCACCCCAGAAATTAAATTAAAAATAAAGTTGGATTCCTATCTTACCCTTCAAGTAATTGTTGCATAAATACATGTGCCATGTGTGGTGAAACTATCTACTTGAACCAAAGCAACCATTTCATTGTTTTCCACACATGTTACCCACATTCTTTTCTTACCATGACAAGCCATAATTTTGAACTTGATTGCAAGAAAATTCATGATTCTTTGGGGGCTTTAAGCCAGTTGATTCAATCTCTGGCTTGCCTAACTCAACTTGAAAGGCAACAACTAAGGGAGACCTACAAGGCAGTGTATGGAGAAGACTTGATAAGTCATCTTCAAAGATATGAAGATGTGTTTTCTTCTACCATGAAGTGTTCTGCTTTATCCTTGTGGATGCTTGACCCACATGAAAGGGATGCTATTGTGGCTAGGGAAGCTCTTCAGCAAGATGAGACCAATTTCAAGGCTCTTGTGGAAATTTTTGTGGGTAGAAAATCAAGTCATGTTCTTCTCATCACACAGGCCTACCACAACAGATTTAGAAGGCTATTGGACCAAGATATTATAAATTTGGACCCACCACATCCATTTCAAAAGGTGAGAATTTTTTTAGAAATTCTCAAATGGCTCATGGAAGTTGTCAATTGTTGGTAAATTTAAGAAATTGGGTTTTGGTTTTGCAGATTCTTGTGGCATTGGCTGCATCACATAAAGCTCACCAAGCAGATGTCAACCATCATATATCTAAGTGTGATGCTATAAGGCTCTATGAAACTGGGGAAGGAAACTTAGGAGCTGTAGATGAAGCTGTTGTGCTAGAAATTTTAAGCAAGAGGAGTATTCCCCAACTGAACCTTACATTTTTGAGTTATAAACACATTTATGGGCATGACTACACAAAGGTATCAATAAAAGAAAATGCTACTAGTCCTCTCCCTCTCTCTCTCTCTCTCTCTCTCTCTCTTACCTTATTCAATGTATTGCCATTAATTGATTGATTTTGAATGTGTTGTGTGTCTTCAATGCTGTCTGTGTTTTAGTCTATCAAGAGGGGAAAATATGGCCAATTTGGTAAAGCTCTAATGGTGGTTGTGAAATGCATTTGTAATCCAGCACAGTACTATGCAAAGGTAACCATTTTTATCTTTGTTTTTCCTCCAAAAAAAACCCAAAAACTTGTTTCAAATCCTCAATAAACATATAGTTTATGAAGGGATTGATTATTTGGAAAGTTACAACTTGGTTTAATAATGGCAGGCATTGTATACAAGCATAAAAGGGGAGAAAAGGGACATAGGATCTTTGGTAAGAGCATTGGTAAGCAGGGCTGAGGTAGACATGAATGATATTAGAAGGGTTTTCAAGGAAAAGTATGAGAAGGAACTTGCTGATGTTATATGTGAAGGCATTCCACCAGGGGACTACAGAGACTTTCTAGTTGCCTTGGCTACAAGATCTAAGTAGTAGTTGCATGATTTCATCTTTATTGCAACAAAACTTATTAAGAACAGTATATAATTCAGATTAGCTTTTTGAGTTTCTTTTGAGTGACATGAATTGAAAACTTGTTTAGTTTAATACAACTAGTAGTGTACAGTTATATAATGTGACAATTTACAAAATGATGTCTCTTTCTATGAAGCAAAGCAATTTTTTTGCCATCTCTAAAGTACTCTTTTTGTAAACCAAATAGCAACTTTTATTCTCATATCTTTTTTGGCTGCTGCTTTATACTACAAATCTAGACTTGATTTGGAAACATATGAAATGTATGGTCGCTGATTTGGGGTCTACTTGTTAATGCCTTAGCAGAAGAAAAATTAAATTATTTTCTCAGTCTGAATCTTCATTTTTTGAACGTGAAGACATCTTTTATTAACTTTATTTGAAACACGTGACTTTATTATTTTTTAACATATGTTTTTATTTTTTAAAAATTTTTAATTATTAATTTTTTTTCTTTTATTTACAATTTCATTTTTAATCAAAATTTGACTTAAATTTATTTTAAATTTTATATTCTAACTTTTTATCTAAAACTCCAATCATTTGTATTCTTAATATTCTTTTCAATTTTCTAAATTTACTCCTTTTTCTAAATCTAAGTTATTTACATTATTTATTTTATATTTTAATGTGTATTTTATAATTTTAAAATTTTCTTAAATAAAAAATATATTTATACAATGGATGAGATATTTATTAGTAATAATAAAAAGGATACTAAGTTTATAGCAAAAAAAAAGGATGCAAATTTGTTGTAAATTTTGTCAAATTAAACGTTAAATATTTTATAACATCAACTCTCGGAGAATTATCATTGTACTTTATATAATAGCAACTAAAACCTTAACTGTTGAGTATCTTTTTCCAACGAGAAGTATTGTTATAATTTTAAAAAAATTTGTAAATTTTTTAGGTGAGATAAAGGGGATTTTCTGTGTTCTTTAAAAAAATAAAATTACTGTATATTCTACTTTGAACTTAAGACAGAATAAAGGTCATTTTAGTTTTCATAAGTTATATTTTAACACAGTGACGAAAAGTTGAAACAATCCAATAAAGTTAAATTTTAACTATAATTTTTTAAAATACTGTTTATGTTTTTTTTTTTAATAAAAATGAGAATTTCAGCTCATATAAAAGTTTATATTTAAGTTTGTCACAAATTATCGAGTTAAAACGCTAAACAATAACATAAAAGCACTTAAAAGAAACATCTTTTTGTTCTTAGAATAAACATGTTTGCACAATTTTTTTATCCTTTGTCCCTTATAATTTTTTGCATTATTTGTGTTTTAAAATGCAAAACACTTTCACTTCTTCAACCAAAAGCACTTTGAACCACATAGCTCCATAAATGCACAAAGAAAATTGAGATGGAACAATACTTATTTCATAAGTTAAAAATAATTTATTTTTTAAATTTTTAAAAAATATAAATTATTTTTAACTTATAAAAAATATTTTATTAATTTTTTATATTAATTTTTCTCCTATAAAAATTTATCTAGCAATTTATTCAAATTGGTCATATTTTATTGTTGTTAGTGAATCAAACAAAACACTATCTCGTTTGGATAAATGACTCAATATAGTGTGCTTTATTAAGCTTATATTGTTACCAATAAAAAGAGATATCAGATGTGGTGTGATCGTTTCCATAGAAAAATATATTTAACAGACTTTTAGTAATTTTTTAATTTAAAATGATTAATCATAAAATAAATATCTTTTAAAATTTATTTTAACATTTAAAAAAAGAATAATAATTATTTTTACAATATTTTCTTATAAAGTTTCCTTTTATTATATGAAGTTAGAATTAAATGCATTTTATGCTAGACAGTTAATACATATATATTTTCATAACTACTTATCCAATAAAGTATTAAGAGGATTAGTAAAAATATGTAATAGATGATTAGACGGATATGATATTATTTAAAAAAAATAAAAAATCTAATCACAATATTTTAAAAAATATATTGAAAAAGTAATTTGGTCTTTCAAGATCATTTCAATTTGAAGCAATCCCCCTCCGCAATAAAAAATGAAAAAGAAAATGTCAACAACCATTTAATTTTAAAGAAACAAAAGAAAATAAAAAACAGTTAAAAATTATTAAGAACTATGGAAGTTTTCTTTAGGCAGAATAACTACATAATTTTTGGATTACAATAAAAATTAACCTTAATGATATCTGAATCTTCAATCTCTTTGTCCAATTCTTTTCACATTATTCCTCTTATGTGTTCTTCAAGTCTTTTCTTCCAGCTTGATCATCGTTGGTGTTTTTCTTTTTAAGTTTTCAATGGAAAGTTGCTGTATGAGTTTAATTATATGTTTTATATTTGGTTTTTTCATTTTTTATTACAAAATAGTCCTTTCTGTTTAGTTTTTTTTTTTCATTCAGTCCATCCAATTTCTATTAGAGACAGAAAGGATCAACCAAAACTGTTAGGAAGTTATGTGGCTCAGGGACAACTAATTAGCAGCAATAGGAATCAGATGAAATTAATAAGTAATTGGAATCAAGTGAAATTAATTGGAAGCAAAGAGGGATGTGGCAAATCTAATTGGAGGCAACAAGGATAAAGCGAAATTCGTTGCAGAGATCGAAGATTAGGCAGTATTAAAATAAGTTTTTAAAGTAAGGATATTAGGAACAAACAATTATAATTCATTCCGCTCCACTCATTATCACATTCCCACTTCATTCCATTCCATTCCATTCTCCTTTGTCTCTTTCCATCAACCCAAACATAGCCTAAAAAAAAAAGTAAGATGAGATAAAAAAAAAATGGAAGAATAATGTATATTCTTATTAATTGATTTGTACTTACTAGAGGCTAATCACACCAATATATACAAAGCAAAATGAAATAGGATAATAAAGAAACTATTTCTAGAGAAAAATCTAAAATATTCTAAAACACTCTTAAGAAAAATCAAGATACTAAATGATCTTTTTCACATATTATAACAATTTAATTCACCAATCCGAGTTTCCATCAGAATTAGTTTATAAATTGACTTTTCAATGCACCCAAAACCAAAGGAGAAAATAGTCTTGCTGAGGAAATGGATTTAGCTGCTTGTGCTTAGCCGTGCGGAAATCAAACTAGGAAGTGTCAAACTAGGAAGTGTACACTTTTGCTGAGTATCCCTTTTTGAAAAGAATGTAAGATAATTTGTCATTTTACATTTGTTGTCATTGAACACAAAGAAATTCCCTTAGTTATCAACATGTTTATATTCTTAAATGTTCTCCAACATAATCTCAGCAGAGAAAAGTTACTAAACTATCATCAGTTGATTTTTTAGTCAATGGTTATTGTTCCGTCCTTTATCATTTAGGGCGTACCTTGTATTTTAGAGGAACCAGATCCTTCTACATTAGCCCATTTGATAGAGATGCAAAACAGGACACAGGACACAGGCGAGCCTGCAACACCAATTATCTTAATGAGAATATTTGTAAGCAACCCACTTGTCATCACTAATCGGCATTAAAGTACCACCATCTTCAATTTCCATGTTTGTCTTGCGTGAGTAAACAACAACCTTTTTTCTTTGCGATGTGGAGTCCACCGCAGTTGAAGATGCACCATTGCCTGTGTCAGAAACCACTTTGGTGCTGTCTGAAAGAAAAGGTGCAGACTTGTCATTTGACAAGGAAGAACCCTCCGTGCATCCAGTTGCATTTCCATATGAAGAAAATCCTTCCTTAGCTGTAACAATAACAGGATTTCAAGATAAAATCACAGTATGTTGTGTTCTGAACATAATGTTAGTGAGACATGAATTTCTAAATGCATTGCAGAATGCAGACTAACAATATTTGAAAGACATCTCAGTCTCACTTTGGAGACCAATGGCATTTAAAGTTGACAGTTTAACATTATTTACTGGAATAACACATCACATGTTTTTTGTTAACGAGCTAATAGGTGGCACAAGGCACAAAAAAATAATGCATTATATTTTCCTATTTGATCTTTTACTGCTCTGAGTCCACAAAACAAACAAACTAGAAATAGATAAAGGCCGTGCTATACCATTTTTATAGATGAAAAACATTAGAGGTGTTTCAAATTGTTACATGAGATACAGAAGAATAAGAAGATAAATGCCAAACAAATTTAGTACATAATAATTATCTCAAATTCTTAGTGCTTACATATTTTAGAGATTTTCCTCATATCATATGCTTATGAAACTAGTTCAAGCTAACTTATCAAACTTGCACCATATTGTAAACTCTTGGTCAGACCTACAGCTTCAACTGGTTTAATAGGAACTTGCCATTATACTGATACAGTTTACAACCTTAAACCAGTATATAGGTTTACTGCAAGCCAACCCAATACTGGTCAATGATGTATTGATTATCTTAATTTTAAGTGGTAATACCTTTATACATGCCATGTCATCTACCAATTTATATCTGAAGGGAGTTGGACTACCGTAAACTGGATTTGGTTAACCTACAAATTTATTGCTGGGCTAACAAAGTTAGCTAATGGGGAGAGTATGCAGTATAGCTTTTGCAAACTGTGTACCTCCTTTGAATCTTAATTATTTTTAGCAACTAAGTGTATAATCTCTGATTATCTGTTCATTAGGGTATTACTATTGACAGTAGATAATCTACACGAGGCAGACTAGAGATGAAATCTACACAGTTGTTTCAGAAAGGGAAAAGGGCAAGAAGTGATAAGGGCTTTGAGGGCTTACGTCTATCTTTGTTTTGTTGATTCTCGGTGACAAATCCAAGGCTTACAAGTGAATTTGGATTAGTATTGTGCGGCAGATCAGCTGCAGCCTTTGACTCTGAGTGGTCAGATGAGAACTCAGGAGCTTGTCCTTCATGAGTTGGAAAAGGAAAATAAGAGCTCTGATCTAACTTGCCTGTACCAAAAAAGAAAAAAAACAAGAAAGCAAAACAGAAGCACAATGACAAGCACCTTTTAGTAGATAGGAGATACCAGGCTTTAACACCTTAATAACAATCATAAATTCACAATAATAGTGATAAAAGAAAAAGTAGAAGTCAATGTAATCCAAAAGTATATCTTGATTGATTTTTACTCAAATTCCTAATTTAAATATTGTTGTTGGTAATTTCCTATTTATTAGTATTTTTAAGTTTATAACTAATATCAAGATATGTGAAAGATACAATAGATTTGAAAGATATGTGAGAGAGATGTTTTAAATGGGAAAATTAGGCAAGTCATTAAGAGTAAATATAGTCAAGCAAATTCCTGTGCGTTATAAATACTTTGTATTGGGGGCATAGTAGTTAATCGAGTGCAATAGAGCCACTATAGCAGTTTTGCATCACATTGCAGCCGCCAGCTACTTCAACAAGACATGTTGCAGAGTAATTTGTGTTGCACTCAAAGTAGCACTAATTGCAGGAAATTGTGGCCATCTCAGCCACTATTCTGTCATGTTTGAAAACCCCAACTCTGGCCTTGGAACCTAGCCATTTTGTGATGTTTTAGGAAATCTTGGAATTTTGGTCCCTTTTTCATTTAATCAGAACAGAAACCTTATTTTCCCCTTCTCAACATTGTACAACCAACAGTGACCAACCTAGCTCCTCTCTCTGACAAAGAACAATCTTTCTCTGATTACATTTCTGGGATCACACATCATTTTCCAGCTATTTCCAGGCAAACTCATCACTGTTCTGGCAAACCCATGACCTGTACAGCAATGATTTCATCCACACAGCCACAGGGAGCAACACCAAGTACCGACCCGCCTCTGTATCATTTTCTTCTTATTTGACTCCTTGACGTTTGTAGTAATTGACATTAGTTTAGTTCTCAAATTCTGACTTTTGAAACTCTCATTGTACTCAAAGTTATCTACTCTCTTTAAAGTTTCTTCTATTCAAAATGAAATAAATCATCACTAGAGTCCACAATCTGTCTCACTGGTAATAGGAAACATGGAAAGGACACAAAGTATAACAGTTGGAGATAAAGAATGGAATGCATAGTATAGAAAACAAGTAAATATTCTATTTTGGAATATCACAGTACAATTAAGTAGCTAACACATTAAATAATGGACAATAACATACTTTTAATTTGTCATAGAATTAACCCAATCATTGTATCATAGTGATACAGTTAATCACCCAAAAAAAGGAGGAGCAAATAACAAATAGTATCTAAAATGTATCTCTCTTGAACAGAAATGGTAATGGGGTCTAAACACAGAAACGAAGGTGAACATAAAACAGAAAAACAATACAAGATAATGTCTCATTCTCTTGCCCAAGTCTCAGGCTGAATTCTTACTATAACTCTTCTCTTCCTGCTCATGTTTCCTTCTCTCACTTATAACCAACTTCCCATTCCATGAACCCCTTATGAGTGCCCAATTTCTTGCCTACTCAGCATAATAACTCCTCCAAATCCTTCACCATGTGTCACCTTGTTACCTCTCCTGGAATATACCTTTCAAATTGTGGCATCTTGGTTTACCTGCTGATCCAATATCTCATCTTATTTCTAGTGTTAGTAGGCTCAAGGGTCTCATCACAGCCATATGTCTGTTTAGCTATATTAAGTTTATAATACTACCCCAGCAGAACAAGAAGATACCAAGCCAACAGAAGTTATGATTTATGCACACTTAATAGCAAAATAAAGGGGAGAAAAAAAAAAGTCTGATGAACTCCCCTCCATTAGCCTACATAATATGTGTTATATTACATTGTTCTATCATAAAGAATAAAATCAATAGTTAAAGTGTGTATTGAAATACAAATTAAATACTGTACTCCATAACTATATATTAAAGGCAATTTTCAAGAAACTTATGCCCCAGAACACAAGGACTAAGCTCATTCCTAATGAGTTTTAACTCAGCACCCAAGGCAATAGACGTCTAATATTGGGATACCCATCTTTATGGATGTATGTTACAATCTAGCATATAAAAAAATACCTTTGCGCTCTTTCAAAGCCATATAAGCAGCCTTGGCTGCACTCATCTCTGCTTGCTTCTTGGATTTAGCTTCTTGCCCAGTAAAAAGCTCCCCTTCCACCTCCACTTGTGACACAAATATTGGCATATGAGCTTCACCATATTTACTTGAACTATAAATAGGTAAACCAAATCCTTCCTTTTGAACCAATTCTTGTAAAAGATTTTTGTACAACCCAGTACGATCCTGAAATTTTTGGAGAATCTCATGGATATAAAGAGCACCAGAAAAATAAAACATCTAAGAAACTAAGGATTATAGAATAAGAAAGTTATCTAATTAGCTACAAGTGATCGGGACTAGCCTCTTGAACTCCATCCGGTGATAAAAACAATAAAGCAACTTCAGCTGCTGCATGCTCAGCATGCTTCAATGAAGAATAGAACTTATCACTCTCATATGTCTGTCCATCAACAGTGACTCTGCACTTGAAACGCATGGCATGAGGAGGACCCTCCCACTCAGAAGAATACACAGGAAGATTTAGATTTCTCTTCTGAGCATAGCTTTGCAGCTGGTTCTTGTACAAATGTGACATATCTATGACAAAATTGATTGTCAAAAAGTCATAAGTAATATTATCACAGGATGGGTCATCATTAATAAAAGAACACAATCATATCTATTCTTCTCTATAAATAATGAACACTCCTCTACAGCTATTAATTACCAAAAAAAAAAAAAATTAATTCATAATTCAAAAAATCTAAATTAGGAATTCTAAATATATACAATTAAAAGGCTAATTCTATTCATAATTAATACAACATATAATAGAAAATAAGAATAATAACAGATTCTCTGACTAACATTTCCCCCCCCCCAACCACCCCACACAAAAAAAAAATTGACGTTATTGATCAAGAAGCATCAATTAGTTTATGAGAAACTAGTGACAGGGATAAGGAATGGCATTGGTAAAGATAGTTGCAAGCTGAAGTTATAAGGTGACATGAGTAAGAGAGATATCACGGTCATTGAGAGCCTCACAAATGGGATGACAGTTCACCTCAATATGTTTAGTACACTCATGAAAACCGGATTGACAACAATTGGAGTGGCACTAGTTTTATCAGCAGAAAGAGGTGTGCTGCCATTCTAAGGAATTCCAAGTTCAGTTAACAAATAATATAAGCATAGAAAATAATATAAATAAAGAAATTAACCTCTAAATCACATAATTTAATCAAACATAAAAGTCATAGACTTAAGATCCAATACAACACATAATTACTCAAACTAGCATGTTTTGCAAGTCTATTAAACTCATTCCTAGCAGTCTTGGAATTGGAAGCCATGAGCCCAAACACAATAGGACGGAAGACAAAGAGAGGACGAACAAAGGTGGCAGAAGAGAAGAGAGCAGCAAGAACAGTAGACCAACAAAGGTCGCAGTCTTGCAGAACAGGTAGAATAACCAAATTGCAGAAGAGAAGAGAGCAGGAATAGCACCTAGGTTGCAGAAGAGAAGGGAGCAGCAACATCACCTAGGTTGCAAAACAGAGGACGATTCGCAGCAGAACAGCGGACAAACAGCAAGCACCGATGAAAAGAAAAATCATGACCTAGGTTGAAGAAGAGTTGTCACATGAGAATAAGGGTTCAAATGTGGAAAACCCAAGAAATCATTGCCCAGGAAATGGGTTATTAGGAAACGGGTTGTGAAAACCCGACCCAAAAACCTCCACTGTCCACTCAAACCCGAAAAGCTGAGATGAGAAGATTGGATAAAAGGAGAAAGATTGCGATCCAAAATGATCCTAACAGGTTTTGATCTTCGTTACAATCATGATTGCAGGGAGGGTAAGAGATTGCACGATCTTGGGATTAAGATTGCGATCAGAGTGTACACATTTGCAGTCGATGGGTTTAAATTCAAAGTGGACACAAAAGAATATCCCAAGCATGATTCTATTGAAGGACCTGTAACTTCGTCTTGTATTGCTTTTATCCAAAGCGAGTCCTTAACAGCCTACGAATGACATATAGGAAGAGAAGGGACTATTGGAGTTGGGTCAGGTGATAGTTTAGCGTTGAGAAGGGGGAGAAACAAGCGACCGTCCAACATAACCATGTCCTAGTTCAAAATTTTGATTTGATTGATCAACCCGTCTTGCACCTGCCTAACCCACATTTTAAAGAGTTAAACAGGACGGGTTAAATGGATTGATGGGTTTAAAACGCTCAACCTGCCCTGCCCAAAAATGACAAGTTAAGCGAATCAACCTCACAAGTTGAACCCCCTTTGCCAACCCTATAGACAAATACATATATACACATACAAAGTCACACACACATACTAAAGTCCTGATTATCTTGTGTGTGTGTACAAGATGGCACACAACCATTTTACCAATTGTGAAAATGGACATTGAGTAGCTACACATTTAAATACAAAATAATTCAAAAAGGAAAGTATAAACAAAAATTAGGCCCTTGTTGTTTCTAATGTCCCAGCATGGTCTCTGTTGGCAGCAACAGTCACTGGGATGAAGGTAAAAAGTTCCTACAGCACATTCTAGATAGGGAAAAAAAGATAAAACTAAAGGGGATTAGAGGAGAGAGAGGGGGATCCTAGGTGTTATGCTAAGGAATACAGATACCACAATGCACAATTACCTTTTTCTATAATTGAAATTGCAGAAAGAACATTGCCTTCTAGTAAGAGGAAAATGCATCTGATTTTAGATCACACAAATCAGATTAAATATAATTCATGTTCCCTCAGCAGCACCTCTCACACCAAAAAGAATTCCCTCTCTCTAACGAAAGAAAGATCCTTAACCTACACAGTTGGATCTACTTATGACACATAATCATATTAAAGCATTAAGCATTAAATTAATCAAACAAAAAGAAAGAGAAATCAAATCACTTTTATGATCTTTCGCTGTCATTGTATCTCTAACCACAGTTACAGGGCTATTGATTGGAGAAGTTTGGCACCCTTCTTCTAATCTTGGTTGCAACACTCTGTTTGTCCGAAGTATGTTATCAACATCAAAGCTGGGACCAGATGAACCTGCAGGTCCAATGCGAGTTAACATGAATCTTTTGTAAATATAACATCTGGAATAGTCTCAGAAAATCAAGGCACTGTTTTTTTCTGGATCGACTCATATAGTATACAAGTATGCCAGGAAGAAGATGAAAAGTCCCTATAATTGATCAATGAATAAGGAAAACATCAAAATTCTAGTGTTTCAGAATTAGATCATATTCTACTTTGAATGATAAATTTTGTAGAGAACTTTAATGCATATGAAAGCATAAACCTAATTAACAGTGTAACAGCACCCAATTTGTAGCCTTATTAAATTTGCAACAAACAAAATAAAAGTATTCACAACAAGAAATGAAGAAAGTAAGAGTTGCATAAAATTATTCAAGGATATCATTGTGTGAAATGAAATAAATCAATTTATGTCACATTATAATTCACCCAAAGCTGTATAAAAAGTTCAGTATGACATGCTAATCCCTTCTGGTGCAACTCAGCATTCATTGGAAATAACAACAAAAAGAGAAATATAATTGATTGATTGAATCTCAACTATCAAAACAGCTATGGATTTCACTCCACCACTGACACATTTAAAATTTCAGATTCAGCATGTTGTTTTCATGGTCATTACTTATTACCATGCCAGGAGAACGTAGTCAAATTTAAACCACACACTGCTGGCAGTCCTAGAAATTAAACTAAGAAACCTCACTTAAATGGTTTAGCCCAAGACTTCCAACGTTAAAAAAAAATAAATCAATATCAGCTTAAAATTCAAAATTTCTCCTTCACAAAATCAAAATAAAATCCCAGAACAAACTTCTCAACAACACAGCAATTTCATAACTGCATATCCACACAATTACCTCCAAACCCTACAAAACAACCAAACCAACACACAAAAGGACAACATTCAAAAATCAGGGATTGTTTACATTGAGAAAATTTTTATTATTATTTTTATTATTTCTTATACAAATTCTTAAAAACAGAGAAAAAAATAAGTGAAAGTTTTGTAAGTAAAAGTGAAAACTAAAACTAAAAACAGAAGAGTAAACTCTCACACCAGCCCTCTAAATTATACAAGTCAAACATTTAATCATTGAAATTTCAAATTTTTTTCAACTTTTTAAAAATTTTCCCACTTTAATCCTTTTTCACCTTATTTTTTTATTCGTTTTGTTAAAAAAAAAAAAACTAAACTAAACACGACTTTGCAATATCTGAACTAACTAAAAAACAGAAATTCTCGAACCAAACATGCCTAGGCTTCGACAAAGCGAGGAAGAAGAGAAGTTAAATTTTCATTGAAACAATGAATCCAAAGTGGTAATAAATTAACAAAACACACACGCAGTGGCAGCGAATTAAAAAAAAAAAAAGCACGTGGGAGGTACCAGGAGATGATTCGCAAAGAGAAGGTTGAGGAAAAGAAGAGAAACCAGAGATAGAGAGAGAGTGTTGGGGAAAAGAGCATGGCGATAACGGTGACGGTGACGGTGACGGTGACGGAGATACGAAATGGAGGAAGGCTTGCATGGCGGCGTCGTTTTGTGCTTGTTTGGCGGTGCGTGCGGCGGTAGGGGAACGGAAGGGGATGGCGTTAACGATGACGGTGGAAGTGAAGCGAGGGTTGTGATCTGGGCCTTCTCTGGTGGTTTCGTATTCCGGTATGCGCCATGACCTTCTCTGACACAGCTCTTGAATCTTCGTTTTGTACATTTCTTCCCTCTTTCCTAATCATTCATTCACTCTATTCTTTTCCCTTCTATCTCCCCATGCCAGATTCTCTCACTCTTTTCCTTCTGTGCTCGTTATAATCTGCAAGTGAGCATCACTCGAGTTATAGTTATGTTATAAATCAATTAATTTCATTTATTTTTTACTCAGTTTTAAAAATAACTTGTTTTAATTTAATTTGATAAATTGGTTAATTAGATCAAAATATAATAATAAAAGCAGATAATTGGAAGAATCATGAAAAGGAAATCTATACAATTCTATAATATTTAGTAGTTAGTATTATTAACTTAATATTGAGTATTAATCTATTGTCGAATAATAAATTTAATAACAACGAAAATAATTTAATAAAATATATATTTAATATAACAATTTTTGTTAATATTTATTTTTTTTCAATTTTTATAGACTCTTCTGGGTGTGTTTTTCCTTCTTAATAAAAGAAGTAGATTATTGTATAAATTATTGTAAGATAGCTTTTGTGAAAATATAATATCATTAATGAGTGAAGTAAAGGACGAATTTTTGCATAGTTCGAATCAGGTTCCAACCAATGCGCTGACACCTGTTAAACTTGGTGATGTGTCAAGTATCATAACCACTACGATCCTACACCGTACATAAAATTTTTAAAATAAAAGAAGTAACCTGAGTACTGACAAAAGTAATAGAAAGCCCTTAAAATTTAAAAAGAAAGCTGTAACGTTTTATTTATAATTTAAATATTTTTTATTAAATATATAATTTTTAATAAAACTTGATTGAAATCGTAAAGAATTTAGATAATTCTAAAAAATTATATATATATATATATATATAAATTTAAATTGATAAAAGTTAACAAATTTTAAAATTATATATAAACAAAAATATATTTTCATAATTAAAATAAAAGTTAAAATTTTATAATATTATAAATAATTCAAAATTTATGATAAGTCTTTAATTAAGTCTTTTTTTACAGCTCATATATTTATATTTAATTTTTATTTTAATTGAGTTTTACACTGATTTATATGTTATATGTGTAATTTGGTATGAAGAAGTTACAAGTGGATTTTAAGTGCCTTTTGAGCCTAAATTAATTAAAGATCAGAGCTTTGCAACAGTCATTACCCCAGACTCTTTTAACGAGACCTTACACGGTCGTACTCATCTGCGAGAAGTTTAATTATAAAGTCTATAGTTAAGACTATTATTTATGAATTTATGAAATTTTGATATTTAAATCTATATTTGATTTCTGTTTGTGATTAACTTTTATCTTATTGCGCATAATTATAATTCTAATTAATTGTATGGTTAGGCGATCATACATCGATTAGTTAATGAATCTATAGGATAAAATGAGACAAAAGATTAGGTTTAATTATAAAGTCTATAGTTAGGACTATTATTCATGAATTTATGAAATTTTGATGTTTAAATCTATATTTGATTTCTGTTTGTGATTAACTTTTATCCTATTGCGCATAATTATAATTCTAATTAATTGTATGGTTAGGCGATCATACATCGATTAGTTAATGAATCTGTAGGATAAAATGAGACAAAAGATTAGGTGGACCAAACCAATCTTTCTCTTCCAATCGTTATTAAATTAACAAGTTCATAGGTGTTTTATGCTTTCTTTAATTAATGTCTTGCATGATCATTGGGGATATTAATTTAGAGAAAAAAATATTAGTATTACATGATCATTGAGTATTAATAATATTAGTAATACAACAATTGTTATTACAAGAAAATTAAATTTAGAGTTAAACAAAAAAATAACATAAAGAATTGAATGAGAATATTCATATGCCCTAGGTTCTTCTCCTATAAGTTCAACTAAGACGTGTGTTGTGTTATTTGCTTTTATTCATAATTAATTTTATAATTAAATTCTAGTTCTTACTTAATTTCACATCTTTTAGATTCAAACAATTGAATTAAAAAAATTTTAATAATTAGAAATCAATCCTTGTGGTACAATATTTCAGAAACTTATTTTAGAATCTTTTATTACTTCTCGACGAGTACATTTACTCTTTGAACACCATACTACAAATAAAATTTTCTTTCAATTAATTAAATTTCTAATTAAAAATGGATATAAATTACAACTTAAAGTAATTAACTACTAAGTATTACACAAACACTTTAAATCATCATTTATAATAAAGTTTATCCAAATATTCTAAAATCAACATTTGAAATAATTACATATTGTTGTTAGCTCTGAATGAAAACTTAATTAACATTATTACATTCTTTAAAATAAACTAAATCTTAATAGAGCGCTTTTTTTCCTTACAATCCACTTTGAGTATGATTCTAGAACAAATTTATCTTTTATTTTTCATTACCTGAATATGATTATAAGGGTCAGTATCTTCCACCTTACTAAATTCTCATTTTATAAAACAATCAAAGTAATGCAAAAAATATTTTCTAATATATTATGCATCAAAAACAAAATCAATTCATTTTTTTTTTGTAATTCTAACAAGATAGAAATCATCCATACACATTATTGCTATTCTAATCAAATACAAAACATTTAATCCTCATGTTCATGCCACTTTATTTATTTCAATTCTGAAATATTCACCAATGAACAATACTTTAGGTATTTATGGACCCCTACATCGTTGTCAACATACTCTTTCTAGTTATGCAGGACTTATGCCAATATAAATAATCGCCGGTTAACTACCATAGACGAAGACATTCATAGGAAATATATAGTTAAGAGTATAGTAAAAAAATGAGTGAGAGACTTGTGAATACTTTGTTACCAATTGTGTACAGATAAACTATTAGTATTCATCACCTTTATTTCCCTCAAAATTTTCAAATCGTCTCTGGACTTTATACCCCTAGTATATCTCTAAACTATCTATATAGAAACTCAACAATGACACACTAAAATAATGCTATTTACACTAATCAATATTATCCTAATCAGGGGCGGCCTAAAGCCCAAGCAAGTAAGGCAAGGGCTTTAGGCCCCCAAATTTATTATTTTTTTGTTTTAATATACTTTTAAAAAAATTAAATTTAAAAATAGCTTTTAATTTAAATATTTTAAGTAATTATTAACTTTTCATTAATATTATAAATAACATTTAATGAGTCGTAACTCTTAACCAATAGATAATAAACGGTTATTTATTTATTTTTTTAAATAATTGAATAGCAAAGAAAAAAAATTAAACATTTTTTTAACTTTTTATTTAATTGCTACTTCTTTCTTTCTCTAGCTACTTTCTTCTTCTTCTCTTCTTGTTCAATTTTGCTTCAATTTGTATTTTTTTACTAACAACAACCTTGGGATAGAAGTGGAGGAAGAAGTAAAGTCTTCTATTTTTCTAACGCAGAAGCATTGGTACGAAGCCTTCTATTTTCCCAACGCAGAGGCATTGGTACAAGCGTCTTCCCTTCACTACTCAGCCTCCATTACCCACACCTACCGAACAATATTTCGCGATTTCTTTGCAAAGTTGTCACTTTTGAAGACGTAGAGATTGCAAGTGTCAAGTTTATTTTCTTGACAATAAGGTTTTATTGTTTTTATTTGGCTTATTTTATATATTTATATTTCATACTTTTTTTACTAGAATATTTCATACTTTATATATTATAATTTTTAAATTCATATAAAAATATATAAATGTCAACTAGAAAAGGTATGAAGATATTTTTGGCTTTTTATTTAGTGTTAAAAATTAAAGTCACTAGATAATATAATTTTGAAAGAAAAACTTCTAAACCTTGAAAAATCTTTGAAACATGATAATTTCTTGGATATTAATGGATTAGATTTATTTTCAGAATTAAATATCTTAAAAGAAATTATAAAATTGGAAAATGATAAACCAATTGACATTCTCAATTATATAAAAAGAATAGATTCTTTTCCAAATACATTATAGCTTACAGAATAATGTTAACAATTCTGATATTAGTTGCTTTAGCTGAAAGAAGTTTTTCAAAATTAAAATCAATAAAAACTTACTTAAGTTTAATAATGTCTCAATAAAGATTAAACAGATTAGCCTTATTATCTATTGAAAAATATATTAAATGAAATTAATTACGACAATTTTATAAATAATTTTGCATCACAAAAAGTTCAAAAAATAAATTTTAAATAAAATTATAATAATTTAAAAAAATTATTTTATGAATAAAAAAAGCCTTATTTTTTTAATTTGCCTTAGGCCCTAAAAGCTCTTGAGCCGCACCTGATCCTAATACATGTGTTATAATCACATTAATCAATATGTTACAACATATATGTTATAATCTCATTTGTTGATATATTACAACACATATTAAAATCATACCAATCGATATTTTTATAACACGTGTATTAGTAACTTCTTTTCTTTTACTTACATTTTTTTCAGCAATTCACAAACGTTCACACCAATTCTTTCTATCACTTTTTTTTTTTAACATCATTTCTCATAATTCATTTAAATAAATTATGTCTAAGTTCACACCCATTCAGACTGACTCCAAATCATACATTTATAATAAAATACCCTTCATCATTCAATGATAGCCAAACTATTTGCATCAATCTTATACAAAATTAAACTTCTCATTTTAACTTATATTTATAAAACATGAATCACATAATCATTCAGTCCAATACAATGCACCAAAGATTGGATGTCTTCGGACTCAAACCAATCGTATATTTTAGAAATATCTAGCTAGAGATCACACTCTCTCAGTTTTAATAAGAAAATCATCTAACCTAAAGTTTAACATTTTTTATTTTTTTTTCATCATCCAACATGTATATTATTCAAAATAATAATTTACAATATTAACAATACATGTATATAAATATAATGAGTAATATGCCTATGAAAAATTCTTAGAACTTTTTCTTACTCATAAATTTTACTAAAAAACTATAGTTTTATTCGATTCTTAAACAAACCAAAGCTTTTTCATATTAAAACTTCATTTCTAACATTTCAGTTTTAAGAAAACTTTATGAATTTGTTATTTAAACAAAATAGTTAGGTCTTTCAAATATTATATATATATATATATATATATATATATATATATATAATAGGGTTTAGGATCAATTCCTTTTACTTGGAAGTAGGTCTTTGAGACTAAGTTTTTCGAGAGATCTAGAGGAAAACTCAATGTTTTAATAGGAGACATTATCCAAAAACTAAAGTTCTTCCTAATAGCACAGAGTAGAATACTATTATGAAAAGAGAGAACAGAGAAATAAAAGTGAGATTCAAAAGCTAAGCTTTGGAAACTTACTTGTATTCGAGTGGAATGGACGTTCGAATTTAGATCTGAGAGAGATTTGGAGTCCGAGAAGGTTTTTTCTGAGAAAAGAAAGGGAGAGAACCAGAGTGAATGAGAAGGAGAAGTTGTTTGGTGAATGACGAAATTTCTCAACGTGAAGTTAAATACCCTTTAAAACCCGTGATTTCTTGCTTAAGCAAGAAAACCAAATAATGAATTTTTCAATCTTTTCTTATATTCTTGCCTGAGCAAAAATGGGTCCTGATAGTTCTTCAATTTTCTTGTGACTTGTTTGAGCGAGGAGACAGTTGGGATGATATTATCCTTTTTCACTTAAGCGAGAATGTCCCAGAATGTCTGATTCAGAATACTCTATTTCGCTTGAACGAAAAATCCTACACTAAAATTCCTATTTTTCTAAAACAAGGGTAATAAAAATGAAGGTGTTACAAATTTATCATGAAAAATAAAAAGAGAATGTTTGAATTCAACAAAATAAAAAAAAAGGGAACAAATGACAATGACATAAAAAAGAACATGGTTAGAAAATAAATATTTAAAACTTCAAAGCATAAAAATAAATGAGAACATAAGAGAGCAAAGGTAAATTAAAGTTTATTAAAATTTTAATTTATTACACTACTTATTCATAATTTTTAAAATTTATTGATGTATTATGCATTTAAAAATTAGAATATATAGTCTACTTATTTAAAATTATATAAACAGTACAGGCTCACATACATAATATATAATATTTTTAAAAAACTTAGAATTAGACTGTACCAATGAATATGTTAAATCGAACCTAAATAGTCCACTAATTATGCATGTCTCTAAGTTTCATACATTTAGGGGAGTGTATTGGATTAGGATTTTAAAAGACTTTTTTAGTTGAAAAAAGTTATGCAAATTTTAAAATACTTTGCATGATTTTCATAAGTTTTAAGACTTTAGAGGATTTCGCAAGACTTTAAAATTAGGATTTTAATGGATTTTGCAAGATTTTAAGTCAGGATTTTAATGGATGCTGCGAGACTTTGTGAACTTAGCAGAATTTCGTGGATTTTTGACATAAAGAGTTCAAGATTTTTTTCATACATTCAAATTTCAAAAGAGTCAAAGACAAAAATAATAAAAAATAATAATATCTGAATAAATAATAATAACAACTCTCTGTAATATTATGTCCTCTTAAATAACATTTACCACATATTCATAGTTATACTATTCCTCCAAGCATTAGTGTCTTCTCGCTCTTGCTCTTGGGTTTGAATAATAAAAATTATGATCTTCATTAACCGATAATGTTGAAGATAAAGGTTTATTCATCGGTTCAATTGAAAATTCATCAAAACAACATTTTTTGTGAAGAAAGTTATATAGTGCTACACATGTTAACACAAGTTCTACTTGTGTCTTAAATAAAAATGGAGATGACTTAAAAATTGTGAACCTTAATTTAAAAATTCCAAATATTCTCTCGATCACATTTTTTAAAAATGCATGACAAAAATTGAATAATTCTTTCTCATTTTCAGGGTTATTACCATGACTTGCAAAATCTTGTAAATGATATCTTACACTTTGAAATGAAGCTAAAAATTGGCGTCAGTTAGAAAATTCACAATTTACCAAGAAATATTTACCTAATTACATATGTAATATATATAATATTAGTATAATCATAATATTATTATTATTATTATTTAAAAATAAGCACTTACCTTGAATCACTTTAAGTCCATTCCTCCTTGTTATAATATCATTTAGTAGCTTAGAATTATGAGCCAAACCCTCCCACCCATTAAGAATGTACATGAACTCCAAATCAAAATTACAAGCGGCTAATATATTTTATAATATCTTTTCATGACGAATACGATAACTGCTAACATCTTGCTACCTCATCATTGCTAGAATATGTGTCTTGTCAATAGCTCCAACACAATCCTAAAGGTCCTAGTTAACTATTTGAAGATCTACAGTTGACTGTAGAAATCATGATTTCAATTTCAGCTTTTGCCTTCCCTTTTCTGTGTTATATATCTGAGGAACAAACTTAACTAAATAGAGCAAGTCAATGGCACTGTCATCTACGTTTTCACCAAATAGGGGAATGAAATGAGAAGAGTAGTATAATATTATATATGAATAATAGTGTAGTATTATTATCAGATAAAAAAATAGAAAAGACAGGAGTACAGAAAAAAAAAGAGATAAAAGCTCACTTGAAAATTCTTGAAACACTTAAAAAGTCACTTCAAACAATTCTCCAAAATCTAATGGGTTTGGATGAAATTATTTTATGAATTTGTTATTTATAAATATCACTAAAAAGTTCTTCAAAATCTCTCTGATATAACAATCCTTTAAAATTTTTATATATTTTTTAATACCAATGAATTATTTTTAAGTTGTAAAAAGTCTCAAATGAATACCAATAGATTTGAATGAACTTTTTAAAAAATCTTAAAAATCTAGATTAAATATCACTAAATTATTTTTCAGTGACATAAAATTTTGATTAAATACCAACAAATTTTTTTACTTAAAAAAAGTCTTTTAAAATCTACGAAATCCTAAACCAATACATCTCCCTAAGTTTTCAAATATAATCAAGACGCATTTAAAACTAAACAAACTAAAATTTAAAAATAAAATAATAATATTATATTAATATAATTTTTATATTCTTAATTTTATTATTATTAATATTTAATTATTATATTAATGTATTATGTTATAATTTTTTTATTTATAATAAATAGAAATTGCTTAAATATAAATTATATTTTATTTAAAACTAAAAATTTATAAAAAATAAAAAAATTTCAATATACAATATATATATATATATATATATATATATATATAATTGGACCATATAATAAATAATATATATTTTTTAACTTGTTATGTGTTTCATTTTTATTGGTAAAATTTTTTTTAGATATGGTAACCATAAAATAATTTGAGAGTATCAAAGTTCACACCTAAATTAACTAGGTGTCTCCCGGTGAAAGTGGAGCAAAAGTGCGATAGAGTCGAATGCGTTGAATGCCCTTGTGACGTTCTTTGTAATGGAAAATAATACGGGTATGTGTCGACTATTTCTAAAACAAACCAATTTTAATAAATAAAATTTAGAAATATTAAATAAAATCTAGTCTAAATTAGGATAGTAAATAAAGTGAATCTAAATATCTGGTTTGATTAAAAATTTAGATTTTAAAACTAATTTGTTTTTGGTTACGGATCAAATATGTGTGTCTGGATTTTTGAAATATATACAACATGGTGAAACTAGTTCACTTGGTTAGGATTTTTTTCTTCACAACGGTCTGACTCGCTACATTACTTAAAGATAAATGAACAATTTCCTACTTGAACCAACTCCCTTGTTGATTTATGGGTCTTGGACTTTGATTTGCAAATCCCTCTTTTTGGTTTTCTTGCAATAAAATCTATGGCCGTTGTGCTGCCTTAGCTCTTCGCATCTCCTAAACTGCAGTTCTACATCTTGTTGCGCTGTCTGGAGGCAATGATTCTGAAAGTTAAGAGGAAAATTGATGTCTTAGTACATTTTGGAAGAGACATCTTTTTAAATATCCGCTGTCTTATAGATATATACTAGAAATGAGTGTATATAAAAAATATATTTTCTCTTATTTTTTTATAAAAATAATTATTAATAATTTGGTTTTAATTAAAAAAATAAAAGCTCATTTTCATATGTATTAATTATTAATTTTTATAATTTTATTTATTGTAAATTTATATTAATAATAAATTATTCATTACTTATATAAGAAAGTATGTTTATTTATTTAATATTTTAGTTACCAATTTAACTATTTAATACTATAAGTATTTTTTATATAATATAATAATTACTTTTTATTGATCGTAAAAAAATTAACAATTTATTTGTTATAAAAAAGACTGAAGAGAATACAAAGTTATGTATATATATATATATATATATAATGTTAACATACTGTCTCAATTTTTAATAATTCTAATAATGGAACTGAAGTTAAAATGTCTGTCGCGTAATAAAGCAAATCTGTCTATATTCCAATTTCGGAATGTAAATCTTTCCAAAAAGGATTTCTTGAATGTTTTGAACATATTCTTACTTTTGTTTTCGCTGTTGTTGTATTAGGCTTACACATTGGACATTTCTGTCAGGAAGTGCAAACAAAATGGGGCTAAAGGAACTCAATACAAAATGCTGATTAGAAAATTGTTGTTTCGTTTCCTGTGTACATGCTAGCCAACAGGGCATTAGACAACTCAGATAGGGTACAAGGGAAAAAATGTACCGATATATTGCATTTGCTCATCAATACAACAGAGGCAATGCCACAAAAATACAAAAATGCTGGGACGAATAAACTAAACACCTAAATATTCAACAGAGTTTATTGCAACAACCAAAATAGAAAATTTTCCTTTCTCCGTGAATCAAGCAGAACCATGGTGATTACCGAGACTCTACTTCGGTTACGCCATTCATTTTCCACTGGCAAGCTGGTTGCGAATGACTTTTGTGGCAGCAACCATGTTTGTGAGGGCTGGATTCACCTCTGGGTACTTGCGAGTCTTGAGCCCACAATCAGGGTTGACCCACAAAATGTTTTTCTCAAGAACTGCAAGCATCTTGTTGATCCTATCAGCAATTTCTTCAGTTGGTGGTATTCTTGGGGAGTGAATGTCATACACTCCAGGGCCAATTCCAGCACCATACTTAACTCCTTCGCGGAAAACTGACAGGAGCTTCTCATCAGAGCGAGAGTTCTCAATGGTAATCACATCAGCATCCATATCAATGATGGAGTGGATGATGTCATTGAAGTTAGAGTAGCACATGTGAGTGTGGATCTGTAAAATGTTAATAGTACAAAAATGTACAAGTTAATTATATTTGGCTGTAAATGGAGATGTGAAAAAAAGATTATAACCCATTTGATTTGTGATCTAAAGTACCTGAGTAGTATCCTGCACACCAACATTGGTGATCCTGAAGGAATGGACAGCCCAGTCCAAGTAGTGACCTTGCTCTGACTTCCTCAATGGCAACCCCTCTCTCAAAGCAGCCTCATCAATTTGGATAACAGTAATTCCAGCCTTTTCGAGATCTTCTACTTCATCCTTGATAGCCAAAGCAATCTGATAGCAAGTTTCAGACCTGTGTGTAGGTTTAACACTGTTAGAAAGTACAATATGATGAATGTTGATTGCTTTCTCTTTTTCAGCTCTTTAAATTTTATACTTCTACAACACATTACATGGATCTTAAGTTTATACCTAGGCTGGTCATTTCGAACAAAGGACCAGTTGAGAATGGTGACAGGGCCAGTAAGCATTCCTTTCATTGGGCGTTTGGTCATGCTTTGAGCAAGAGATGACCAGAAGACAGTCATTGCCTTTGGACGGCTCACATCACCATAGATGATTGGCGGCTTCACACAACGAGATCCATAAGATTGCACCCACCCATTAACGGTAAAGGCAAAGCCTGACAACTGCTCCCCAAAGTACTCAACCATATCATTCCTCTGCAATGCAAGGCATCAACCATTAGTACAAAGTGCATTTGGGAATTTGCAATATCAAAATGAGGAGCAGAATATCTTATTAGAGTATTTTGTTCTTCAAAAAGAAAGGTGAAGAAGGATCAATGAAAATAGTGTCAGTGTAATAGAACTCTCGTATTCCCTACTTCAGCAAGTCAATATTTAGTCCTTATGTGAAGATGAGAACTGACCTCAGGCTCCCCATGTACCAGGACATCAATATCAAGCTGCTCTTGGAGTTCGACAACTTTGCGGATTTCCTCTTTAATTGCATTAACATACTCTTCCTCTGAGATCCTGAAAAGAAGAAGAAGATTAGTGAATAAAAGCCAACGGTCAAGAAAAAAGCAGAGTTATGAGCTCTTGGCATATCTTACTTGCTAGCCTTGTATTCACGACGCACCCTCCTGAGTTCAACAGTCTGAGGGAAGGATCCAATAGTGGTGGTTGGGAGGATTGGAAGGTTGAGCTTCTTTTGTTGAGCATCCAATCTGGCGCTGACATTCGTGGCACGACGATGGTCAGAACCCTTCAATGCAGCAGCCTGTGATGAAAAGAAAAGATGTCGTAATGAGAATAAATTTCATAACAAATCCTGCGCAACTGAAATGAGCAATTGACCAGAAAATAAGCACTCACAGCCTTCTGAACAGCCTCATTATTCACTCTTGGAGAGGACTTTCTTGAAGCCTGAGCTGAAGCATTAGAAGAGAAGAAGGCCTGAAAATGATAACATAAAAAAAGTGATTCAGTGAATAATGTAGTGAAACAAACAGGAATAAAACAATATATGACTATGCATATATTGCCTGCCACTAATATCTCGCTAACAAAATAATTGGCTAAATTTATGATACTTGTTATTAATATTATGGGAATATTATACTTTCTCTAAAATTTAAACTACTGCTTATCTTCCCCCATATTTTATTGTGAGTATCTGTATTTTCTCCATCCAGTATGACACAACTTTGTGATTAAATAATAAATATCGTCTATTTATTTAACAACTCATTTTGTCCTATGTAGGATAAAATAAAAGGAATGGTGTTCACCTGGTCCTTTTGACCAGACAATGCCTCGGCCAATGCATTAACTTCAACAATTTTTTGAGCAGCAAAAGCCAGCCATGATTTTATCTCACTATCCAACTTGGTCTCATTAACAAGATCAACAGCAGTGTGAAGAAGCGAGCAGGAGGTGGACACAACAAGTTTATCTGCAATAGTTTAGTAAATGGATATATCAAGTGACTATATTAACAGCAGAAGTCTCGCAAATTTTTTCATGAAATGCATATTTGACAAATACCTTTGCCCACGATGCCCTCGAGATTATTTAATGTATCAAGAGAAGCAGCAAGGTTATTAGCCCAAATGTTCCTTCCATCAACCACTCCAGCAAACAAGTATTTTCCACTGGGAAATCCACCCTTGATCAGATCAAGAGTCTTAGTTCCACGAACTAAATCAAATCCAAATGCTGTGACACCATTAAGAGCTGTGAGGGTCTGATATGCCTCAGCAGGAATGTCAGCAAAGTAGGTCTCAATAAGAACATTTAAGCCAGATAAAGCAGATTCAAGTTCGGAGTATGCTGCAGAAAATGCTTGCAACTTTTGAGGCTCAAGGTCTAGGACAAGGGTTGGTTCATCAAATTGAATCCAAGAAGCACCAGCTGCCTTAAGATCAGCCACAACTTCCCTGAGTTTATAGTTATAAGCAAGTTAGAGAAATAACATGATTACAATCATAAAAGAGCAAATAATTTGTACGCAATCTAAAGTCTTACTTATAGACAGCAAGGATTTTTGGGAGGAGAGAAAAAAGACAAAAGGATTTATCAACACCCTTGGCGGGTTTGGAGAGCATCAAGTATGATACTGGGCCAATGAGGACTGGAACTGTATCTACTCCAAGCTGTAAAAGAAATTAAATATTCAATGACAACGTAGATATAGATAATAACCACTAAAAAAATCACAATGACCCCACAGATAACAACAAACATCATCGGAATTGAGAACAATTCCTGATGAATAAGATATACACGAGAAAGAAAAAGAATACAACACACAATTTATTTATAACAATGCTGCTCACAGTCACAGCTTAACTTAACTAAGCTTGCAGTAATTAACGTAAGTTTGCAAGTAATAAGCAGATAACATAAAATCATGAATGGCTGTAAATGCATACCGCCTTGGCCTCCTTGTACTCATTCACTGCCTTATGGGAAGCGTAAGTGAAATTCATATCAGGTCCGAGTTCAGGGACAATAAAGTGGCTGGATCAATGCACATATCAAAAGTTTAGTGATCAGAATATTACAATCACAGAATCATTTAAGAAAAGCAAGTAACAACCACTTACTAGTTGGTGTCAAACCACTTGGTCATCTCCATTGCGGGCACAGAGGCATTACCTCTGGCCATGGAGAAGTAGGTATCAAATCCTATCTCCCCGCCGGCCCATCCATATCTGGGTGGAACAGCGCCAAGCATGGAGGTAGCGTCGAGCATCTGATCATAGTATGAGAAAGTGTTGCTGGGGATGTACTTGATCCTAACATCAGCCATCTGCTTCCAGATGGATGCCCTGAGATCAGCAGCCACCTTCTGCAAATCCTCAGCACTGCTCTTCCCATCCCAGAATGACTCCAAAGCAAACTTGAGCTCTCTCTTGGGGCCCATGCGTGGATATCCAACAATATGAGATGCCATTGCTCTGCCACATCAGATCAAATTACAAACAAAACTCAGCTACCTGTGTATGAAAACAATTGCTATTCCTATACCAAGGATTCCACATCTTGCATTCCCATACATAACAATGACTACGAGTGCTTTTGGAAACACGATGAAACATGGATCAAGATTCGTGACCATATTACGTGAATCCAAACACACCAAGTGTATATTTAGTTGAGATTTTTTAAGAGAAATAATCGTTTATTTTTCATTTTCAATAAGCTAACAAAAATAACCAGTTATTCATCCCAAATAAAACAAACCAAACATGCAATAAATTCATCCAAGGTTTTCAACTGCAATCCACATATGTGGCAGCAATATTGTGGTTTTAAAATTCTCGCAAGTCTGCGTCAGCAACATTTATCCACAATTCAAGTAACCGCAATTTCATTAACGGCAATCGCAATTCCAAACCTTGAATTGGTTAACAAACTCACGTCATTAACCAATAATTCACTTACTTATCATTAACAGGTGTAAGATTTCAAATGCGAGGAGTAATAATAAATAAATAAAAATTCACCATGCAGGATCTACATCTCATGAGAAATTGATTGCAATTACAAAACGTTTCATGAAATAGCATTGAATCAACATATTTTGTTGACGCAAAAATTGAGATCTGAACAACGAAAACAAAAATGAAAAAGCAGAACGAGTAGAAAAGGGAAAAGTTATTACACGGAAGCGTTGAGATTTACCGAGAAGAAGAAAAAGAAGAAGAAAGAATAGAAGTGTAGTTAGAGAAAACGAGAGAGAAGTGAGGTATCTAAGGAAGTGAGAATGGTGAACTTAAAAAGAGGAGAGGGGAAGTTAGATGAATGAAGGAGAGTGACAGAAGGAGAGAATGAGAGAGACCAGTTCCTTGTTTGGTTTATCTTTGTGCGATGAATTGAAGCAGAGGGAAGGCGCGAACTAAATGGAGTGCTCTTCGGAGTATTTATAGCAAACTCTGGGGTCCAACAACTCCCCCTCTAGATCTCTGACTCGAAGACATCCATAAATCACCATCCCCTCTTTTTTCATTTATTTCCCTTTCTTCCCTTCTGCACGCTATTACCAATATTTTATTTTTTATTTTTACCAGGAGATAAATCATAAATGTGTGTGTATATATATATATATATATATATTAGAATTTATGAACAGTATTTTTATTATAAATTATTATTTTTCATAAATTTTAATAAATAAATAATTTTAAATATTATAATCTTGAATAATTTTTTTTTATTTTTTTCTATATATTAGATGTATAGGCTATATGCTTTAAAGATTAATAAAATTAAAATAACGAATAATTTTTGTTATGAAATTTTTTTATAAAAATTTTATTTTTAGTTCTTTATCTTATCTATTTGATATATATTACCCAACACTTTCAATATTTAAGAATAAATTATAACTAATTGGATTTGAATTAAGTAAATTTATTTATAAATGAATTTTTAAAGTATATTTTTTATAATGTACCCATTAACACTTTTTTTTTTTATTGAAAACTCTAAGTATAGTATTGATCTCAATTAAATATTTTTATTGAAAATGATGAATTTTTTAAAAAGTAATATATTAAATGTTACTTTTTAATTATATATATATATATATATATATATATATATATTCTTTTGAGTGAAATTTTTATTACTTAATTTTATATTTTTATTGTTTAATAAATATTTTAAAATCATCTTCCAAAATCTTTTTGTCTTAAAAAAAATTAAAAGTTATTTTATTTTGGGGTTAAAGCATCATAACTTGAGCTTTAAATATAACTTAGTATGATTTATCAAACAGAAGCAATGATTTAAGACTGATACTTACCAATGACGAAACAATAAATTTATTAAAAAAAAAGATAGACATTCTGATGATATCTTGATATTTACTCTGAACACCAATATCTCAACCAAAATATCAAATAATTAACAACTATTAACAATGTTTTATGTATGAACTTCAAACGTTGAGATTTTGGCATTCAAAATAAAAAAGATTGAGCATCGTATCAACTCCCTAATTTCCAAAAGTAATCTTATTACCTTCTCTATAAGCATAATGATGATAATTGAACACACTGTCTCACTGATAATCAATTAATAAATTTATTTTCTCATATAAAAATACCACCTTTAGTTCCAATCAAAATCAAACATACACAATTGAACAGCACATATTTTAATATAAAATTTATAATCAAAACTAATTTAAACATTTATTTAAAGTATATTTAATAGTGTAAAAATTATTTTTTTTTTAACTTTCGTGCCTTATTTTTCGGGCCACCTTTGCATATAATTTTAAAAAAATTTAATATTAAATTTTCGTTTTTATATTTTAGAAAGGTATTTTGGCATAATTTTCTACATAAATTTATGATGATGAAATTAGAGATTGCCGTGAAAGAGCAGTGTTAAAATAAATAAATAACTGTTCTAAAATAAAACATGTTATTACAAGGAGGTGGAAGTCAGAAACATGACACGTGCACGTGGGAAATTTTAAACGCTTTAACCATACCAATCTTTGTAATACTAAACCATATCATGCTTAAATTACTTAAAACAAATATAATTTTTAGAAAAATAATAATTCAAAAAACTTAAATATTCTCTTTAAAAACAAACAATTATTTTTCTTTATTATAATTAGCCATCCAAAACCGTGCTTTTAGTTTGCGTCAAATGAAGGACACTAACGAGAGTGTGTGAAGTAGTACAATGAAGAAAGATTTTTAAAATATAATTTACCATATAAAATTAAAGATAATAATTAATAAATTAATAAATATAATTTTTTATTAAAATATAACTTAACTATATTAAAAATTTTCAATAATTTATCTTAAACTCACTGACCATATAAATATTATCATATGAATGTTGTACTCTTGAGTTTGAATTTTAATTAATACAGTGATATTAAATATTTAAAAAAAAATTATCGTCCATAATAATTTTATTCACTTTAAAAGATTAATTTCAATGAAAAATACGATATAGACTAAAAAATATTAAATATATATATATAAAAGATAAAAATAAATAAAAATATTTAAATGCGATATATTTTTTATATTTAAATAATATAATTGAGTTATTAATATGAGTTTTATTAATTTCAGCCGTAAAAGTTAAAAATAAGCAACTAATAATAATAAAATTTTATTAAAAAATATTTATTATATTTTTATAATTTTAATATAATAAATATATATTTTTTTATAAATTTTTTTTATTTATAGATGCTTAAACTCAATTTAAAAATTGAAATTAACAAAATTTTTAATATATTTATAAATATTTTTTATCAGGATTTATTATTAAAACTTGATTGAAATTTATCGTAGTATAAAAAAATTACACTGTGATTCAATGAAGTATTATCACGTCAATAACAACTGCTGATTTTTATAATAACTAATTAAAAATTATATTTATTCCTTATTTAATTAATTGTTAATATTTAAATTTTAATAAAAAATTAAAATTTTATTATTATTATTTTATATTCCTTTGTTCATATAATTTAAAAATGATGAAGTTTATCTAATGATAAAATTATGCTAAAAATATTTAGTGGTTGGTGAATGGTGATGGGAGTTGGTCACGAATTGACGATGGGTCACCCCTCTCATCCGCCTCAGAGTTTCCCTTGCACGATATGTTCATAATTCTATGTTGCAATTTCCACTTTTATTAAATTTTTATTTATTATAAAAAAGACTCAATTATATGTGAAATGCCTTCACTACCCTTTGCAACGTGCTAAAGTCGCGCCTATGCTATTGTAGGGTTTCGACAGGGATAGGTTGGTAAATTTAGAAAACGACGTGATAAATATTCTATTTTTATGCATATATATACCATACTAATTTAAGATTATTAATTAAGTTAAAATATTTTTATATAAGTTAATCTATGTATTTGAAGATATATTTTATTTATCTAAGTGAAGAGTGAAATAAAAAATAAAGTATACTCAAATGATATTATTTAAGGAATTGAAATGATGCAAATAAAAAACAAACTGCACGAATATAGTAAATGTTAAATGGTGAATTATTTTTAAAAAAGCTTTATGGTTTATTTCAAAGAAATATAAAGTTGTTAGTTGAGAATCATATTATCGCACAGTTATTTCTAAACTCTGTCGAATCTAGTTCTATAAGAATTTTCAACAAGATGAACTATTAAAATACATATTTCAATTAATGTGTGGTATTTGGACGAAAGAAACTCATCAATAGTTTTCACATTATTGAAATTTGATTTTATTATTAATTAAATTTTTTTTTGTCATTATATAAGTATTATTAAATTAAATTAACATTTCTAAAAATAAAATATATAATATAAATATTTTAAATTTATAAATTTTAAAAAATAAAATATTATAATTATTAGTAATAAATATTATATTATATTACATAAAATTCAAAATGAATTATAACAAATAAAAAATAAATTAAATTAAAAAAATAAATACATAATATAAAAAACTACTTGACAAAATAAAAAGATATTTTTTTAAAAATGTCCTCCTTCAAAAAAGTATTATTTGAGTAAACCGTAATCTGATTGGCATTAGTAACGTTTCTCAAGAAATAAAAATGTTGGCATGTTGATATTATATTTTGACATGTGATTAATGTAAATTTCTTTAAAATTTTAATTATTTAAAAAATAATACAAATATATTTTATAATATGTTAGATTTAGGGAGGTGTATTAGCTTAGGATTTTAAAAGAATTTTTTAGTTAAATAAAGTCCTGCAGATTTTAAAAGATTTTGCAGGATTTTCATGACTTTTAAGACTTTGTAAGATTCTGTAAGACTTTAAAATTAGGATTTTAATAAATTTTGCAAGACTTTTAAGTCAGGTTTTAATAGATTCTGTGGAACTTTATGGACTTTGCAAAATTTTGAAAAGACTTTGCAGGATTTTGCAAGACTTTAAAATTAGGATTTTAATAGATTTTGTAAGACTTTTAAGTCAGAATTTTTATGAATTCTGTGGGACTTTGTGGACTTTGCAAAATTTTGTGGATTTTTGACGTAGAGTTCAAGATTTTTTTTCATATATTCAAATTTAAAAGAGTTAAATATAAAAATAATAAAAAACAACAATGTCTAAATAAATAATAATAATAATTCTCTATAATATTATGTCCTCCTAAATAGAATTCACCCACATATCTATAGCTATACTAGTCCTCTAAGCATTAGCGTCTTCTCGCTCTTGCACTTATTACTCTTAAAAAATTGGGAATACAATCCTTTTAAAATTGAACTTATTGCTCTTAACTATTTTAAAGAAATTTACCATCATACTTTTAGTTCTGTGCTTCATAATAATTTTTTTTTCTCCCCTTCGAGTCTGATAGGCTTAGGTTAGATTCTAATATAGCTATAGAAGAGATTAAAGCTTCATTGCTTAATATTGAAAACTTTAAATCTCCTTACCCTTATGACTAGCATGCACTTTTCTTTTAAAAACAAATGGAACTTTCCAACCCCATTCATTCATAATTTTGTCTCGTTTTTTTTATAATCCATCCAAAATAGCTGAGGTTAATGAAATCGATATTACTTTGATCTTTAAATCTGAAAACCTTGAGTACATTAGAAATTTTAGGCCTATTTCTTTATGCAATATGAGCTATAAAATTATCACTAAACTTATTGCAAATAGACTTAAAAATTCTCTGCCTCACTTAATCTCTCCCAACTAGACCAATTTCATCTCTTAAAGACAAGAAATTGATGATTCTCTAATTATCCAAGAATTGTTGCACTCT